TAAAGACTTTTGTTTAAATCAAAGTAAAAAAAGTGGCACTCGTCCCGCGGGTCATCGAGAGAAGAAATCTTGAAAAAAAAATGTCATCTCCACTTTGACCGGTTATACTTTTTATATTTTTTTACCCCAGTGAAATTGTATTTCTTATTCGAAGGACTTGTGACGCAAAGGTGAGAATACATGTACACTAAATTTTACGGCTATACTACCACCAATATAAATATACTTACAGTACATATTGGTATACATGTCCATATACAGGTGTTACTGCAAGCACACGTACGTGTCGAATTTTCCGGAGGGCCGTGCTCGTATAGTTACCCGCGACTGCACCCTTGCATAAAGTAGGTATACCAGGCACTGCGTTCTCGAGACATCATCGATTCGTGTACAACCGGACAGCCACTCCCCGTATTTCCGTCCACGCGGTCTATATATACATGCACGAGCTTCTACGCAGCTCACAAGTAGAGTGCCGTGGAGACCTCGAGTCCAAAGAGCTGCTGTTGTACCTCCCTTTCGCCTTTGGTACGTCCATCGTCTCATTGTAAACTGCAGCGGTCTCTCACGGTGTTTGGTTGCGATGCCGGGGGCATTGAGACGCTTGAGGTGATTTAATGAGGCAGATGGTATTTGCGCCCACCGTCTATGTACAATCAACGCCAGACGTGGCTAAGTATATTCCACTTTTCTCTCTCTCTCTCACTATTCGAAGCTTTGATTCATTTCTCCCACCTTCTATTATGTACACAGTATAACAAAGTATACGATAGTCAGGAATTAAAGCTCCGTAGTCCTCCTCTTCCGGCGGAAAAAAAAAAGATTGATGGAGCATACATTGTCTTCCACGCCGCTAAGATAAAAAAAAATACAAGAGCTGGCAGATTGGCCCGCACCACCCACTGCTTCCTCGCGCTATATGAGTCGTCTTTCGTTTCAATATGTATATACTTGCGGTGATATAACATACACACCTGTATGTTTGATAAATGTATAACTTAACGTTAATCATCGATTGCTCCTCACACGATGGACCGGTGCGTCGTTTTAACTATTGGCTTTCGATGGTCACAAAACTTGTCGATTGTATTTCCTACTGATCAAATTCACAAAGTGAACGAACAATAAACAATTAAGTTTTAATATGCTTCGGTACTTGTTTTAAAAAAAGCTTTTGTTTTTTTCCCCATTGGAAATTCTCTCGGTTGAAATTTTTTTTGCGTAAATGTTCATACAACAGCCATGACAATAAAGTCAATTTTTTTTTTTTTTTTTTTTCCGGCTAGCCGATTCCGAGGGGAGTTTTCGGGGCGCAGCGTTAATTAGAGGCTCTCTCCTGTCAGCGCGATGGCTCGCCCCGGAATGCAATTAGCCCCTAGCCAATCGACATATACCTATACGCGTGACGCATTTGTGGGCGCGTACACCTATGTGTATATACACAACAAATGTGTTTTTCTCCTCCGCTGGCCCTAAAATAAAAATTACAACACGCGCCTCTGCACTCGAGGTGAAAAAACTTTGGTCACGAGTTTCAAAAATCACCCGTTAAGGATCAAGTCCGTCGATCAAAATTTTTGTGTTAAAATATAATCGGTACAGGTACATGACGTATACGTACTGTGTCAATCAAAAGAGACGCGTGAGATTTTAATTAAAAGGCTGCGCGCTACGATGCCTGTAAGTACAAGAGAACCTGCCCTGCAGCTGATGCGTCGTCGTTATTCCGAATTTCTGGATAATTTGTCCTCCCCCGTCCCTTTTCTTATCTCCGTGCTGTGTCTTAATTTGCTCCGTTGCCGCGTACAGCAGTGCCGGGCGACAATGAGGTCCTTTTAACCCACGAAAGCGCAGTCACGGGAAATACGTGTGTACAAGCCAAGGCGAGCACGGGTTACGATCTCTCGTTAGGCCGAGATAGGCCCTGGATATTGCAGCTGCTCTCCCCTCCTCTTTAAATTACATGACTTTTTGCATCTGTTGTTAAAGAAAGAAAAAAAAAGGAAAAAAGATTGTTACCTTGAATTTTTTACCTCCTATATAGGTATGGACTTTTACACGTATAGAAATATCATAAAAGTTTATCCTTGCCCCAGATGTAAATTTACAAGATAAACAAAGATAAGAACTCCATTGCTCAGCTGTAAATGCAGGAAAGCACTGTATTTTTAATATACTGGCTACTTTCTAAAGAAGCATGGAAGCACCGTAGTACGCGCTTTCCTTTTAATCTTAAAAGTTTTCCTTTTTTTTTGTACACACACACGTGCGAAACCATTAATTAAAGTACACTTTTAAATACTAACAAAATCAGTGAGAAAAAAAAAATTGGTAAAGTTTGTATTGAACTTTATGTGCGAATCCAATGACATGTTACAAAAGAAAAAGGAAATGTTCGAAACTGACAACCGGACACGTACATCAGCTTGCGAATGTTCCAACGAAGCTGATTAAGTGAAAAAGAGAAGGAATTTATTGTGACAACCTTTTAGAGGATTTGCTATACCCGGTCGATGGAAGCTTCACGCGTCTTCAGTGAGACATTTCTATGGATGGGATCTTTGTTCTCTCACCTTTTAACGACTTCGCTCGTCTTCCAAACATGAAAAAGTTGACGTTAACGAGGAAGCTTTCGAGCTTGCGATCGGCGCTTATTTACTTGAACGCGCGACGCTCATCCACTCTCCCCCTTTTTTTCTCATCTCTGGAAGTTCGTTACCTCTATGAAATAATGTAATTGTACTACAACGCGTTGAAAGGATACATCTCAAAAAAAAACCTATTAGCTTCGATTCATCCGCGTCATTCGTGGTATTAGGAAGCCTCCCTTTTTTTCCTTCGGGGAGAAAAATTGCTGCTATTCCGCGATTATACGCGTGAGAAAAAGAAAACTCCGCTTGCTAAATTTGACCAGCGAGCAAATAAAGTTTTCTGAGCCGAAAAATTGGATTATGAAAAGAAAAAAAGACCACAGTATAACGGTGCAGTGACAGGAGCCGCTTTTTATTATTCGCCCACTTTAAAAATACAAAACTCTTTCCATAATATATCTCGTAAAAACTTTGTCTCTCGTTGGACTGGTGTATATATATATATATATATATATATGTGTATATTCGCGAAGTGTGCAACTCCGTATAAACCAAAGCAGCCTCCTCGTCTCTCCATTTTGAACTGTGGCCAGCAACTGGTGAGCTTATTTCAGCCAACGGCATTTCAATTTCAAATGGCCAAGAAGCTTTCGAACTTGGGATGGATTGTCGCAGCCACTGTCAACGTTTCTCATTCCACGTCGTTTGAATTTATACAAATTTCCCATTGGAGTTTGAAACGTTTCGGTCGGAGGAGTTGCAGCAATTACTACTGCAAACCCCCGAAAAACTTTACAACACTTGTTACTTTTGCGAAAGTGATTTGCTACTCCACACGATACATATATATTCATCTAAATGTAGTTGTAGTAAATCAAAAAAAGGACAAAAGCACGTCCTGGAGGAATTTTTAATCATGCGCCGTTCCTTTCAACTTCCAGCTTCCTTTGCTCCTTTTCCCGTGCACCTCCATTGCTACCAGTAGCAGCTGGAAATTTAATTGGATTCGAGTAACGACGATCCCCTTTTTGTCCTCGGATTTCCTTGTTAAAACAAACTTTATACCACCATTCGTCAAAGTTTACCTATACATATATATACTTTTAATAAAAATGTTTTAATGTTAATAATTTTTTGCTCGCAAGTTTTAACGCATCTTACGCTCTGGAAAAGAAAAAAAAAAAAAAATCGGCTCCACCGCTACCGAGTAAATGGGAAAATGGTGTAGCTTTCCTCGCACGAGGCACCACATCTATACCGTGGCTATATTACCCAGAGGCAAAAGAGACTCGCGTGGAATTTTATTTTTTATGCCCGCGGAAAAGCTTTCCGTATGGGGGAATAAAAGGAAATTTTTTTTTTAACCAACACCAATTGAGCTTCCTTTCTATACGACATGGTGGAAATCATGGGGAGAGATATAAAAAAAGAAAGGACTAACGTTTTCACAGAAGAGTAGTTACCGTGACTAATTCACTCGATCAAAACGAAGACGAGCATCGGCACCTCCGCTCCGCCCTTGAACACATCTCCAACTCACCTCGTCTTTCGAGAAGTGCAGTCGTTGACACGGTTGTTTGCTCTGCCCCCAACGGTACACGTGGGCAAGACTTGTCGTTCTCTAATTGGACGCGAGCAGCACTTCAAAGCAGCGAACTTTGAAATATTTGTACGGGAGGGGGAGGGCCAAATTCTTGGTGTCCCGATGGCAAAATGAATACGTGCCTCTCGGGAAGCGAAGACTTCCTTGGGCCGCGTAGTCTCGAGAGATTGGCAGGACCGGCGATTCCCTCGGGAAAAAGAGGGAAGGACCTAAGAACTTTGCAGCCCTTTGTGACGGCTGTACCAACAGATGTGTGCATATACATATATCTGTGTGTGTGTACAGCGAGTTGGCGACAAAAAAAAAAAAAGACAAAGCAAAAAGTAACTGGGGAATACTACTCGCTCTTTTATTGTCGTCGACCTTAGCTACGTACTTATGGTATATTATTTTTGCTGCAGCACTCGAAAAAAAAAAAAAAAAAAAAAAAAAATTACATCATGGCACACGAGGCATTCGTGAAATTATTGGGATTGATGCGTGAATCAAATAAATACAGTTTTTTTCTACATCCCCAATAGATCAGCAGTGTTGATGCTTTTAAATAATAATGATTAAACTGTTTATTTTTGCGATAGAGCTCTTTACCAGGAAATTTGAGTATATGTCTAATAATATCTAAAAGACAGGACAATATGAAGCCTTTACTCTCATGACGTCTGAAAAAAAAGTACAGTAACAGCTTTTTTAAGGTCATATTTTTAAAAATTTTAATTACAGATGTTGCGGACAGCGACATTACGTCAAACGAAGATGTTGCTCGATTATTTGGAGGACATCCGTTCGAAACTCTAGGACCACCCCGCTATACATGACACTGCAACCTCAACACGCAAACATTATCATCATCATACCGTCACCACAACCAAATCGGCACGGCAACGCGGCGTCAACTGTACTTGACCGTCGTATCGTTTCATCTGCTGCTTCTTTGGGGTGAGTCAACGTGTATCATATCATATACCTTGCAATTTCTTCCCTCCTTTCATTGGCAAGATTTAGGTACATTCAAGTTTTCTCTCTCAACATTTTGCACATACGGTTGTTACCCTATTTTCCCCACGTGCTCGTTGCGTGCCAGGTTTGTACAGTAAAATCATGCTTTAATTGCATTTTGTTGCATCACTACATTATTCAAATTATTATCCTTTTCATCACTGGTGATACGATAAGTTTTTCAGTCATACTTGATACGTAAAAGCTTTGTCTGCTTCATTTTGTCTCCTCACTCAGCTTGTACATGTATCATTGCTCTGGCTGCTTGGCGTTTAATAAGTGTGGATACTTGACAATATTATCCATCAATGAAAAGATCCGAGGGATGGAAAAAAAAAATATATTCTTTGGGTGGAGCTCGCGAGCACATCATTAGATTGATACGGGTAACAGAAAGCTCGGCTAAAAATGTCGTGGTTGTGAATAACCTGATATTCCAGGAGAGGGCGTTCCCTTTTTTTTTTTTTTTTTTGGCCATTGTATAATGAAACGGCCTCTCTTTTCCCTGGATTACGCCTAATTACATCTCTTGGGAATTTCCCGCGAAGCACGTCCATCCAAACTTACTTTTTCGCACGTGTGAACTTTGACACCGCAATTTCGAGACCCGCGACGAAAAATTAAGCCTCCAGAAGGAGACGGCCACCTGGAATATAAAAACGATATCGCGCCGACAGGGATCCCCCGGTGAAAATACGAGCGATCGTAAATTTACCTACCTATACGCGCTCTCTCCTCGTCCTGTGGGACAGCGAGAAAAAGAGAGCTTGCAGATATATACATATACATATGCGTGCACATGGGTATCTGACACGGAGTCTAGGCACATGTACATAAATATCTTCTTTCGAATGCATTATTACACCCTACTCCCCGTGAAAATTTTTTCTTGGCTATCGCCGGGGCTACCAACTTTTTCTGGATGACCTTTTTAAATTGCTAGTTGAAATTCGCGAGATTGGGCAGGAACAAGCCTTCGGAGACAAGCGGTAACTATTTTATTTTTGTTATAATCACTCCCCAAGTTGTAGATCCTTTCTGTGCGCATGTAAAACCATCTCCCTCATTTTGAGAGGGGTAGGTATACCTGCCCCGTAACCCTGGCAACCCCTGATCCCTCTCTCTTTATTGTAGCACTGAATTATCTCTCGGCAGCATTATTACATTGGGCGTCCTGCCAAACCTCACCTATACACGCTCAAATTAATTCGCGCAAGCGTGCCTTAATTAAAAAAATAAAATATATATGTACTTACGAAGAAGCGGAGAATTTATAAAGAGAAAAGGTACTTTGGAGGAACGAGGAGGATGATGTTTGAGTCATCGCAGAATGAAAAGACTCGTATCCTCTTACCATTTTTTTTTTTTTTTTTTTTTTTTTTTTTTAAAGGAGGAAAAATATGCTGGTAATGGTCTCGCGTATACTTTATCTCGCACGGGGCACGCATGATTTATCTTTCTCGTACGGAGACAGACCAACGAGCTATCTTTGTTTTGTCGTTTTTTACTGTATTCACTAACAGCGATTAATATAACCAACCGGATTATAAAGTCCTTGTAATTTTAATATTAATTTTACACCCCATATACGCAAGTAAATAAACGGATTTTTCAAACTTTTCGACTTCAGAATCAAGCCAGTATGTCGATGAGCGGCAGCTTGATGGGCTACGAGAACAACAACGACGTGCACAACCACCACCACTACCACCACCATCACCAGCACCAAGCCGGTAGCGGGAAGCTGAAAAAGCCGGTGAAAGCACTGCCGGTCGTGACGAGCGTCAACGCGGCCGGGGCTACCTCGGTAGCGGCTACGGCTGCAGCCCCATCGGCGACGGCGGCAACCTGCGGCAACGGGGGGATATCCCGAAACTACAAACACTCGCCAAAGTCTTCCGCGTCCTCGAGACCGAAAAGGCGCGGGGTCTGCGGCCGCGGACACGTCAACAGTCTGTGGTCCGTGTGGTATGGCATCATCGCCGTCGCTTTTCAGGCCTACATCGCTGCCAGGTGCATCAGGAGATTCATCGGTGAGTCGCTGCTTACACGCGTGCCTTTATACTTATGGTTGTCCATTATCGTTTATGATTATTTACTTAACCGTATCGTCTACGTTTACAAAAAATACATTATACTTTCATTCTCTCTTTTATGTAACTTTCAATAAATCTAACATTTATTGTGTGTATAATTTAATCAATGTATAAATTGGCCATTGTGTTTTTTCTTGTCGTGTTAGTTACTGACTATTTAGTGCGAGAAAAAGAGAAATAAGCGTCAAGTTATAAATCGTTTACGGGATAAATAAGATTTTTCACAAAAATGAATAGACACGTGTTTGCGTCATCGGAAATTTTATCATGTTTTATAAAGATTTAAAATTACAATAACCCAATATCTTGTTTGATGATGGATTTTTTAACGCAACACTTTAGTGCACTTGTATCGTCGAGTAAACGCGAGTTGTACTTACGCGTATAATATATTGGAGTGTTGTATGTAGTATATACGTTCAAAAATAGAAGAAAAAAAAATAGCTCTTTGAGAATAACGTTGAGGTTGAGGCTTGACAAAAGACAAAACGCGACGAACACGTAGACTTTTTTAATTAAGGTATATACACCTACTCTCAATTGGGGCGGGAGCTGCCTTGCCTATTGCTTGCGACCGAGTGCAAGCGAGGGGCTGTACTATATATGTGGGTGGGTGCGCGATGTCTGCGCGCATTCGAGCGAAAAAGGAAAGGAAAATTATAATTAGCCGCGCGCGGGCCTGGAAATAATTTCCAAACTTTTTCCTCCACTACCCGAATCGCAGCTTATTTAGCACTGATTGCTAAATTTTCCCCACCTCTCACTTTTACGCGAAAAATCGGACTTCTCTACCACACGCGAAATAAGGGACAATTTTCGACACTGCCATTCTTGTTCACGTAGGAAAAAAAAAAAAAAAAAAAAAAAAAAAAAAAAAAAAAAAAAAAAAAAANGACAGCTCACGAAAAAAAAAAAAAAAAATTAAACGAATTCCGGGTAAAATACGGAGCGACACGCATTCTCAAAATTCACCGACGCTCCGAACAATGCATTAACACAAAAAAAATCATCGACATCCATTGCTTAAACGTACGATTTCAATCAACGACCAAATTATATTTCAAGCCATCGATGTAATTTATTATTGTGGTGTATACAGGAGTAAGTTTCACCGTAAACAGAATGATATAAGAATCGTTCCCACTTTCCACAGCATTTTTGTCCCTGCCGTGGCCAGCGGACGCGCCACCGCCAAAAATCGAGCTCCACTTGTGTTTGGTGCTCGCGGCCACTGGGATCCTTTTGCTCCCCTTACTGCTGGCTGCGGCGTTCCTCAAACTCGGCAATCTCGCCAACGACGGGATCAAGCTCGGCCGGCACGTCAGCACCTGCAGTAAGGACCCACCCTCGGCGCTGCTGAACAACAACGCCGACAGCAATGGTAAGTGTTTTTTTTTTTTTTTTTTTTTTTTTTTTTTTCAACTTACAATTATTTCCCCAAAAGAAATTTTTCCCCCAAGAAGAAAGAAAAAGACTATTGTGCAACTAACTCCCGAAATTACATTTGGTTTCAAAAACCTGAAGCCTCCGTATAATATACTTATTATTGTATCTGCCTGCCTTTCTCTCTCACTTAATCACGAAATTGTATTATTTCCCTCGCGTCTATGTTCTGTCTGTCTCGAAAAAAAAGAAAATGCATGCGCTGTTGTACGTGAGAGAAATACGAATAATAACGGACGTATGACAAACGCGAAAGTGTCCGGCACGGCAGCAGGACCGGATGGATATGAGAACCCCACATAATATGCGCTTTACATTTACTTGATAACTAATAAAATTATGATCCGTGGACCCATAGTTCTACCCATGTAATGAATTGTATGTATTTGGTAAATTATTTAATACACGATATTCATTACAGAAGACATTAACATCTTTCATAATAATAATTATTATTATTATTAACATTATTTCATGCAGCAAATATCGTATATATTATTACCAGGGCTGGTGCATAATCTTTGGCGTCACGGTGGTCCCACAGCCGCCTTTGTCCATCTCTGCACAGCCATGTGCTTCTTACTGCCATCTCTGCTTATGGAGGCACGGCTCATACACGCTGGATTTCTGCCAAAAGGTACGTACTATCCTGCGTTACAACGTGCGCACAACAAATTTTTCTACCTCCCCCCCCCTCCTCTGCTATACTTCATGTCTATGCGCGTATATACGGAAATTAATTTGCGAACCTACATTTTAAATGTGAAATGATTAGTTCGCGCAAAAAAATAATCATAATAAAAATATTACAAAAAATTGCCATCTAAGAAGAAAGCATCTTTTTTCCCATGAGCTTTTATAGGTTTACACTGTAAATCTAAATGTGTTTAATGTGTTTAATTACACATACATATAGCGTGTATTTTATTTTTTAGCATGTATAAATAGAAAAATATGATAGACAGTATAAATAGAGTAATAATTTTTCGCACGAAAAAATGAATTATTTTTTTCAACTGGAGATTCTGATGCCACTAGTTTCCATCTGATCTATGTGTACGACTATGCTGTGAGTTGTACTGAGAAGTTTTCCTACATAAGTGTTTTTCCTTTTCACGCGAACACAGGATAGTTTTCTGATGGCTTTTGTTGTAGTTCCACTTACGTTTATAGATTAATTGCCCACAATCACTTTCAAAAATTACATACACAACGCGCCCAACTAAAGCTTGTACAGCGACTTTAATCTTAAATTTTTACAAGTTGCTTTAAACTGTAGTGTCGTAGTGAAAATTAATTTAGTAAATTTTTTAACTAAGGTGATTCAGGGTACAGATATACTATGACAACTCCAGATGATTTAGTTGGGAGGTGGAGAAACACCGCTATACCTACCCAATTTGAAGTAGAGAATAAAGTTCACAAAGAAAACTTGTGGTTGTATGAACTTGAGTGGCATTCCGACAATGAATATTCTTTAATTTTTGGTCATATCAAAACGACAACTCCCCGAACACGAGGGAATTGAACATCGCTCGTTTTTATTTTAAGATTAACTACGGAGTATTTCAAGCAGGTAGCAATAGCCGGTTTTTAATATTGAATCAAAAGTTTTGCAGGAAAAATGAAAGAAGAAGGGTGTCCATGTATTGTGATTAATTTTTTACGAGAGCGTTTTTGCAGCTAAAAGAGAGAGTACATTATATAGACATGAGAATAAAAGAGCAAATAAATTCAAAACCACTTCAAACTGCGATATACTTATGTAAAACGTATTAAAGATACTTTTATCTTTTGTGGGTGTACTCGGTGCATTGGCAGGGGAGAAAGACTCTCGTGTATTCGGGCAGCGTATATGCATATTCATGCGATTCCCCTTTAACACGTATAACGAAGTTCGCTCCAGCCGACGTCGGCTATTTTTTTCCTTTCTCAACGATGAAACTTTTTTGCGTTTATAATCACTATTTAAATTTTAATAATAATAATTATGATGATAATAATAATAATAATAATGTTTATGATGATGAAAAAATGCAAACCAAGTATTATTGCGTGCACTACTTTTTGTTGTTTGGCAAAGAAATAAAACTGACCATAACAATGGTATTGGAGGTGATATTAATGTAATGGTAATAATAATAATAATAAAACCACACAAACCGAGGCAAAAGTCGAGCGGCGGACCTACTTTATAATGAAGAGTGAGAGGTACATTTAATGATTTAATAATTATGTAGACGTCTGGCACAACATTATAGCTACGCTGAAGTAAGGCTTGAATACTACGATTTAAAAAAATATAGTCTTATGTGTTGGCACTTTAATTTGTGGACCACGAAATTAAAATGCTTATAACTTTTTGAAAAACAAGAAAAAAAAAAAAATAATAAATTTTATTGACTAATCACACAATAACAACAACCATGACACAACCAACTGTTCGGCAAAGTGATCAATGCTATTGTTTCAATATTTAAACCTTTTATTCTTATTCCCTGCATGTGACTGAACTTAATTTAAAAAGCGGTAATCAAACGAAAAAAGTTTTTTTCAACCGTCCAAGGGGAGAAATGAATCAAGAAACAATAGAAAAATACCTGAGAGAGAAAAATCACAGAGGGAGTTTGAGTGAATCTGATTCGACATGGATGGTACAGGTGACAGGGTGGAGTGAGGTTGAAGGGGGGGGGGTGGCCACTGCAGCAGGAGCCATTAGAGTTATTGGCTGCCGGTTTTGTGAAGAAACAGAGAAGAGAGGATTACGAGTCCTTGCGCTCTTCTTAGCTCATCTTGATACGCGGACGAATCGATCCGCTGCACAGACGAGTATATATACATACCTACCTATGTATAGCAGGTACATAAATCCCCGGAAGCAAGACGGAAAAAAGCTGATTTAATCAGCGGGAGAGACGGAGGACGAAAAGTAATTTGTCGGATGAGGATGTTGTGAATGTTCTTTCCTGCTGTAAACTTATACCTACTCCCTAAAGAAAAAAAGCTGGAAAAAGTGACTGTATATAATACATATATATCTTCACTGCTATCCTTATAAACGGGAGATTAAGTTCCATTATTTTCTCTATAAGTCTGGAGTTACAACCGTTGGAGCCAAAAATTGATAAAATAAATAGAACCACCAAAAAATATAATTGTTACATCAAAAGTCGCTAATATTTACAAAAGACTATATTCTCTGATATTACTAAATTCTACAGCGACATTCGTACGAAACTTTCGACATTCGCTAACTCTATGTTTGGATCTACCTGATGATTTATTACAAGCATCCACAATCGTGAAAATTGCGGCTAAGAAACTACTGAAACATAGTCATTGGACATGATTATATTTTTTAATTAAACCTGTATTACAGCTTACTTAGTTTTGACCAATTTTGTAAGATGGTTAATGATAATTTTTGTAAATCATTTGTTTATTTTATCTATTTTTTTATGCAAAAAGTTCAAAATTACAGTTTTCAATAAATTTTGGGACCTTCTGAAGAAATATTTGTACTTCAGATTTTGGCAAAGCTCTGACGTTTGAAACTATAGATGAAAACGTTCTTTTCGTCTCGAACCCGTGTAAGGGGGAGAGCATTGCAATCGAGCAAGTAGAGTAGCTCAAATTTTAGTCCAACCGCAAGGGAAGTTGGCACATGGATTCGCTTCATGCGTTCGCGAACTTAATGCGATCGGTACTCTCGAAATTGATCCTTACAAAGTGTGTTAAATTAAGTGTGTGTTACTATACTGTAAAAATTGGTACGTTGGTAATTTTTTTCTTGACTTTTTTCAATTTTTCATTTTGTCAAAGACACTTTTGTTGGTACGAAAGTTATATTATAATTACGATAATTACACTCGAGAAAAAACGAGTAATCTGAAAAATAAGAGAATAGAAACGTAAAGGCGTTCAGTCGAAAGTAGAAGCAAGTGATTATTATGAAAAAATTCACACATTTGATATGCTTAAAAATGCATCAGATCATTATAAAAGATTAAAGTATATTTTCATTATGCTACTAATAAACTAATCAAATTTTTTTTCCTCATATTTAATTAGAAAGATTCAAAACCGTCATTTCCATGCAAGAATAATCATAATTGTAATTTTTGCCATATTTTTTATCATCGTAAACTGCGGTGACAACACGTAATTTTTTTAAGAACTCGCAAAGACGTAAACAAAGCGTTGTAAGTAATCAAAATAGTATAAAGGAGAAAAATTCGGAAAGTAAACAACACCATACCCCTTTTTGTCCTGAACCCCCTGGTCACTTCCGTACATATATAATTACATACCGGCCTTGCTCTTTCCACTTTATTTTGCCTCGAAAAAGTTGAATATAATTAGCCAAAAAAATGTTGCATTCTTTTGTACAGATCTATTAATGACGCCACTGATTTGTTTGCCTCGTTTTTTTGCCATCAAGCGCAATAATGATGTATTGAACCATCATTATCCATCCTTCGATCCATAAAGAACAATTAGTAACTCTCTCTATCACAGTTGGCTACTGCGAGGATAGTCATTTTTTGTTATTTTTCTTATTTTGAAAATTGTTGTACATGCCGGTCTCTTGCTTCCGAAAAGGAAGCGCTGCTCTTCATAAATTTATCACTAGCCTGAAAATTTAATGCCGCCTGCCGGAAAGAGAGAGAGGGGGGGGGGAGGGTAAGAACCACTGGGAATATTTTTGTTTGGAAAGCAACGATGATTGAACGAGGCGTTTTCTCACCGAAAGTCAAGGGAAAGAAGTTTTCTCGAGCTCACTCGTAATAAATCTAAAAGGATATGCCCACCATATATACGGGCCATTTGTGGCCGTATCGATTCCTTCTGTGCGAGCTAAGAGAAGTGAAAAAAAAAAAAAAATACTATCTGTAATACCCCAACCCCTGCAGACACTGCAGTATAGTTTCGTTTGGCAATGATGATCTTCATTGAGATACTCTCATTGAGGTATGAATGGTCCGCTTGAAAAAGACAGGCGGTATTCACAGCTAGAGAAGGTTTTTCATGCGTAGCACATTTTCTCCCCCAACCCCCGTTTTCTATCATCGCTTCGCGGGTTTTTTCCCGAGACTACTCTCTCGTAAGAAACGAGATAAGCAGATTACTTTCCGAGGCACGAGCCAAATGATACCCTCTGCTGCTTCGGTTGGAAATTTTATGTAATTTCCGTGAAATTAATGGGTGATTTTTCAAAAGAGAGAGAGAGAGAGAAAGGAGGATTAGGGTTTTCCGAAATTTCACAAGGGTAGAGACAGCGAAAATAGTATATAATATACACCGGGAGAGGATTACTTTGATATTACGCAAAGTGTAAATTCACCGCGGGGGGGGGGGGAGAGTAGAGGGGGCAAAAAATAATGACGTCCACATGGGTAAGCTGTCGAGGGCTATGAGCACTCCGTTCATGCGAAAAATTGCAAGGCTCTCGGTAAGTAGGAAAAAAAAGAGTTCTCGTAGGTACGAGCGGATGGACATTTTTTGCATCCTCTCGTCATCATCGCGAAATGTACGAGCATCCACGTGCATTACTTGAAAGGTATGAAGAGGTGCAGAGCGCCGGCAGTTAGCACTTGGCCCATTTTCCTATACCTCTCGTCTCTCTCTTCCCAGGAA